GATTGAGAGTGCAATGTCCAATTTTGGTAGATTATCAACACGCTGCATTTCTTTCAATGCCCTCGCTTTTCCACAAAGGCGAACAGCTTCCAATCCAGGCTTGATTTGCTCTTTAGATTTGTCAGCCGACACGACTGAGTCGTCTCTACCCTACTGTTGTTGGGCCAGTCTCAAACCTCTCCTAAATGGGTAAGGTTCCGGTAAATTTGATCGCCTACCACCTTATATATGGTTGCCTTGAGGACAGTCACCATAGATGAAATAATCGAATTGCACCCGTGTAAGGCAGTTTGGTGGTAGCTCGTTTACGGTAGCTTACCATCCCAGTGACCTGATTATTGAACCAACTAGAGGAAACTCTCATCTAGACCACATAATCGCAAATCACGCTGGCACGTTTTCTACGAAACAGTTCTCCCCCCTTTGGCACGAGTAAGTACAACCTGATCCTGGTCAGACCTAAGAGTTACTCACATTCAGAACATTTTTCTTTTACTCGACCCAAACACATCATGTTCCGTCAGCGAAATCTTTTCCCAGACAATATTGTCTTGCTTAGATCGTCTCTTAAGGTGATTACCGATTGTTTTCCCTTAAACACAACCTGGTTGTCCAATATGGCATTTATAACAGAAGTATTAAACTGTGTTTTTGACATATGTCGTCTTGTGATAACTTTGTTCCTTCAACATGGCAGAATATCAACAACTTTTATTAAACGTTTTCACCGTGAAAAGGAAGGTGCAAATAAATGTGGCAGGAGGGCCAAAATGCAACGACTAACGTTTCTGATCAGGAGTGAAATCAGACGGTTGGATGCCTTTTATGCAAGTCAGTTTTTTGGGACGAGAAACTGTAAATTAATGAGGCGTGGAATCAATCTGTGTGATTTATGCCTATAAGAGCCTCAGTGACAAATCCCATACCCTTCATTCTGCATACTCTCCCTCTATCTTTATCTCTGTTACACCCATCTGTCAACTTTTGAGCTCACTCCCGCTATGAGGAATAAAAGTTCCTCTATTCTACATTTGACCCACTATCTTCACAGCTAAAGTTGCCACTGAGTTAGGAAGAAAAGAAACATATCAAACTTTTGAATGTATTTCTCGTTTTTCGTGTCTTCCTGTGTAACAGCGCTAGGTGTATTTTTTACTGAAACGTAGAGATACCTGTGTATAAAAGGTAACCAATATGATGAACGCAAAACAATACGATTCCGTTCTGAGGCCTAACGGTATAAATAAACATCTGTTTTTAACTTTAAATATTTCGAAACATTTCTTTGTTTTGCCCACCGGGCTGTGGTTGCTCGGTAGTAACGTCACCAATTATCACCCCGAAGGAAGTGTGTTTCAATTCCACCACCACCGCCTGTCTTTCCCCACTATGTGCAACGCATGACAGCCTTCTTATTGGCCGCTTCCTCCTTCCTGAAAATTGTATCTTCATGTACTCAATAAAAGGAAGTAAAAGTGATTTAAAAAACTAGTAATCCTATTGATGTTGATTTCTTTTGTGCAAACGTCTGTTGACGGGACTTAAAAGCTTGCGCAGCTTTATTACCATGCATATTTGTCGCCTCCATTTTCCATGTGTAATACGTAGAAAAACTTACGCTTTATTACTTCAAACAAATTATATAATGTATGGAAAAACATATAAGATCCGGCTTTGGTAGAGTTCCAACCCCGAACCATGGGGTCTAAAGTACGACTAACGTTTCTGATCAGGAGTGAAATCAGACGGTTGGATGCCTTTTATGCAAGTCAGTTTTTTGGAACGAGAAACTGTAAATTAATGAGGCGTGGAATCAATCTACTCTGTAGGCAGAAGAAAGTGATCTCCAGTCCCTCTGTTGATATTGAAAATCTGAATGCTGCAGTTATTTATTCCTCGCTCGGCACATGCCCCAGTTGTGTTGATTCCAGTTCTCCAAACATCCAACCTTCGTTTGGTCATATCACCTCTAGTGAGATGCACAAACGCATGTGTTCTCTCAAGGTGTCGACCGCACCTGGTCCAGACAACTTAAGCCCTATCCTTCTTAAACACGGCGCTTTGCCATTGGCTCACACTTTTGCACACAGCTAGTCTTTCACTCGAACTCCGAACTATTCCGGACTGCTGGCACCCAGTGAGAATTACTCCCATCCCAGGAGGAAGGTCAAAGGCCCCAATAGCGAAGCGTTTCAAACCAATTGTCCTCACTTCCACTGGTTTGAAATTGATGGAGCGATCAGTTCTGCTTCGTCTTCAGTTATCCCTTACTACCCCAGATGATGCGCATCAGTTTGCATACAAACAACCACTCTACATTGGATGACGTTTCTTTTCTAGTTCATTTCATCTGTAAATCCCAAATATGTGCACTGTGCATTTCTTGATTATTCTTCCGCTTTTGACTGGGTGCCCCGTTCTCTTTTATTTAACAAGCTCCAATCTTTTGGCTGTCCCTATTCTCTTCTTGAATGGCTGACTGATTACTTTTCGCAAAGATATCAGTATGTTAAATTGGGAAGAAGACAGTCAACCAAATCACTCAATAGCTCGGGTGTACTTCAAAGTGTTGTCCTATCACCCTATCTTTTTTCGACTTATATCAGTGACTTACCTGTTGCTCTCTCTATTCGACATTTTAAGTATGTCGATGATATCACCATTTCTGTTTCCGTATCTAACCAATCAGAACTAGCTGAACATAACACAAACTTATCCCACCTCGTTTCGTATTCCACTTCATCCGGTCTTAATCGTAATCCCGAAAAATGCCTTGAATGTATTTTTTTACTCTAAACCGTTCACCATCTCCCTCCGACAATGTACAGATTTATGGAAAGCAGATGAACAGGATCATTCATGTGAAGTACTTAAGTTTCACACCTGAAAGTAACCTTCGCCGGACCTTACATACCCAAACTGTTGCTCGCAAGTTGAAAGTTCTCTCTTTTCAGATAAGAAGACTGCGCCAATTCTGTCCTGATTAGTCGATGATAGACGTTTTTTGTTCAGCGGTGTGTTTTCCGTATACCCCCTTACTACTTCCCTGTAATTTTCTCTGGTTTGTTGAAGGCTGATTTAAAATCGCTGAGGCGTGGCCTCTCAATGATCAGCCGTATTTCCGAAGTTCCGTTATCTGTTCTGATTGGCAACATGTGAAATGCCCATATTGATGCGTGCTGTACGTTTGCTGACAATATCCTATCTGATTGTACCCATCCTCTACACATTGATCTGTTTGAATGCAAATCCCACTCCTCCACCCGTTGTAAGCACAAACTTATCCCGTCCCGCATATCTGCATACAGAAACTCTTTGGTACCCTATCTTTCCCGGATACTGACCGACAAGGAAAGTGTTCGTTCTCAGTTCTTCATACGCACTTTGTGTTTAACTCTTTATTTTGTACACCTTACGTCCCACTTTTTTAGTGGTCTATCTCTGGCTGAAAGCTTGTATATAACTCGCTGAAGTTTCAATACAATACAATAGTTTAGCGAATCAGGCTGTCCACGTATCTCACCATCACTTCCAGTTGGCCCGGTTGACCGCATCGGAGCTAACAAACCCAAGCACTGTTTATCATGCCGTACATATTGTATCAGATTCTTGATGAAGCGCGGGGGCGATGTTCTTACGACGTGCAAATCCTATGGTGTATTTCAGCCATTTACCTTGTACGTAAACACACGCTTTTGCATATGAACCCATTCCATGAACAACTACACTACCATGTTATGCAAACACCAATGAATCATGCGCGATCGACATATGCAGTAAGGCTGTATTCCAACACTCTGCTGCTACGACCTTAGAAGCGGCAATACAACTTCCACCCTTTAAGTATCGAACTATTCAATGGCCATTGGAACCATACACCCGAACTGAAATGAAATATCTCTATCAAAAAGATTGCGTTTGGAACAGGGTAAAGCGGGCTGACGAAATAGATCAAACGCTTATATGAAAGCTGTACAACTTCACAACAAATGTGTCTTCTGAACTCGATAGTCCGTATCACTTAG